GAGAATTATTGAAAACCATCACAGGAACTCCCGTCCCCGGAGTACCACTCCCAGCGACCGTGTACACTAAAGATTATTTGGTTAGTCGCAAACTTATTAACGGACTGAGAGGGTTTTCTGAAAGTGAATTAATAGGAGGGTTCCTACCAGCGGTTGGGTTTTGTAGATTTGGAGAGTTGTATGCCATTTCGACAGCGAGATAAGAAAAATAATGGTTAGTAAATTGGATTTTATATACTAGTTATCATGCAAACGATCGACAAGAAAAAAACCCTATTCCTAAAGTTTGCTGACAATAAAGTTCTATTCAATATGTACTTCCATAATAATCAAGATAATCAGAAATCGTAAATACTTACCGCATCGCAAATGCTAATAACACGACTGTTTTCTATTGAAATAATCACTTGAAGTCCAAATAAATCTTGTTATTAATATCGTGTGGGCTTGGGATAACAGCGTTGTAATAAAAGACTGTAAAAGAATTGCAATACCTGTAGAAGTGGTTATTACTACTACGTTTGTCTCTATTAAATGCATAGAATAAATAGCATCGAATATCTTTACTTTATTTAATCTGAAACAAAAGAAGTAGGTATCTCGTACTCTTCTTATGCATAATGCTAACCAAAAAAAATACATCAATCGCTTACTTGCTATGGCATAAAAGTTAACCAATAGGCATCATAGCATATGAAGCCACATGATCTGAGTGAACGACAGAGTAATGCACCATATATAGCGGGTCCGGTTCATTTCACCGACAATCATTTCACCGACAGTACGTTTCAACGACATAAATTTCATCGAAAACCAATGATAAGTGCGATAAACAAATAAATGTCTCTCTAGATAGCACATGTGAGCTATAAGGGTTAGGGTAAATTTGCAGAGCACCACTGGTGCACCAGGCGAAATTAATATAATCATCGGGGTGGATAAATTTAAATGCCGATCGAGATTCGAGTTTTGGGGGTTGAAACAGGTGGTAATAGCGTTGAACCTTGTACTTAAATCTTTATGAAGAATTTCAATTAATATTAAAGCTTGGTCGCACTAAACAAATTGGCCGTCCGCAATGTCAAAAACTTTTTAATTTCTATTAATGACAAAGATAACTCACTTTGATATTGTTAGTATCTTAGCCAATTGCAATAAACGCTGAGAAATTACAGGTAAATTTACTCCGGAAATACCAACATTTTTGACGTCCAGCATTCAAACAAGAATGGAGGCAGGCGTATCAATAGGATTAAAGAATGTTTATTGTTATATAACTTGTTATTATTCTATGGCATTCTTATTATTATGAATGTGTTGTGTCCGGGACCTGAACCAATCACTCAGGCCAGAGCTCAGTTGTCTCGGCCCAGAACTGAGACAAGCCCCAACTTTGTGAATAAATGGCGTAAAATTTAAGGGTTGGCAAAATAGTCAAGTAATTGACAAGGCGGAGGAAGACCGGTCGACTGCCATAAAAACAAGCCATTGCTATAAACATGATTATTGCTGACTCTTTACCGCACTAACTAGTAACAAGAAATCCCACTAAAATAATATCTGTGCTGGTTATTAACCACAATCTGATTGTTGCACACTTAGAAAGACTTTTTATCAAAATATGCTTATTACCATTGTTCTTGTTCTTGCGTCTTTGCAATTGCGCAAATGACGTTTGTAGAAAGATTCCAAATAACAGAGAGGGGACAAGAAAGGTAAGCAGGCGTTACAATATTTGTTTTACATTGCATACGCGCAGGCAACCACAGAACATTCCAGTTAAAACCTTCGAGCCTGCTACCGATTTTAACGATATGTAAAACTTCAAATTATCAATTGTCAGACGCAGCAGTTTTGGTTACCATATAATAATATTTATACAATCACAATTGATGTTTATATGTATGGCAAATTACATGAAAATGTCAACAAAAAAAGTAAGAGCACCTGAACAACGAAAAGTCTGGAAAAACGGTCCCAACCACCCTCTAACTAATTACAAAGCGAAAAGTAATATAATTGCACTACTAGACACTTTATACTTGTGATTGCCGAATTTGCTGTTGATTCATTTGCATCTGCTGTTGCATTTGCTGCTGCTGCTGCTGTTGCATTTGCTGCTGTTGATACATTTGCATTTGTAGTTGGTGTTGCTGCTGCTGAGTTTTATGATGCATGGAAAATCCAACTCCCACTAGCGCGAGCACTCCAACAGCCAATAAAGCGATGCCGCTATCTTTGAGTGCGTCATGTGTATTTTTGCAATTATCAAGGCAGTCCGTAAGATAACTAAATTGATCACAATTACCGAAACAAGTGTCAAATACTGATTTTGACACTCCCCACATAACACCGCCCGCTATAATAAAGAGTAATGCAAATATTGCAAAGCAAAACTCCTTGGAGCAACATTCTGGCTGTGGTGGTGGAGTAGCAATCATGGTTGGAGGATTATTGAAAATCACCACAGGAACTCCCGTCCCCGGAGTACCATTCCCAGGCGTGTATACTACAGGATTATTTGGGTTCTAATTAGTCGCAACCTTATTGGCGTGCTGGGTATGATTTTGTGAAGTAAATTAATAGGAGTGTTCTTACCAGTGGTCGGGTTTTGTGGTGAATTTGGATAGTGGTTATATGCCATATTGACAGACGAGAGAAGAAAGAATAATTGTTAGTAAATTGGATTTCTATATACTAATTATCATGCAAATGATCGACAAGAAAAAAAACTTTACACTAAATGCCTAAAGTTTGCTGACAATAAAGTTGTACTCAAACGCATGCTCTATGTACTTCCACAATAATCAAGATAATCGGGAGCAGTAAATATTTATCGCAATGTTAATAATAACATGATTGAAATAATCACAATAAGTCTTGTTATTAATAGCGCCGTAATGAATGACTGTAAAAGAATTGCAATACCTGTAGAAATGGTTATTTTACTACTACGTTTGTCTCTATTAAATGCATAGAATAAAATAGCATAGAATATCTTTACTTTATTTAATCTGAAACAAAAGAAGTAGGTATCTCGTACTCTTCTTATGCATAACGCTAACCAAATAAAATACATCAATCGCTTACTTGTTATGGCATAAAAGTTAACCAATAGGCATTATGGCATATGAAAAAGAAAGCCACATGATCTGAGTAAACGACAGAGTAATAGCATTAAAAAAGATACCCATAAATCGTTTTTTTGTATTTAAAATTCTTATAAAGGATGTCAAATTAAAGCTTGGGTTTTTGAAAAGTTGCACTAAATTAATTGTCCGCAATGTCAAAAACTTTTTAGTCTTCTAATAATGAAAATAATTCATTTTGATATATTTTTATTATCTCAGCCAATTACAATGTGATTTATTCCGGAATGCTAGATTTATTACCGTAAAAAAAGTGTGCGTGACGCTTGGCATTCGAACAAAGAAAAACGGAGGCGTATTAGTAACAAAAATTAAAGAATGTTTATTGTTGTAGGACACATTATTATTCGATGGCATTCTTATGGCATGCAAATATGTGTTGGCAATGAAAAAAATGCTTGGCATAAACATTGTGATTGAGGTACACAAATAAAGTTGGCAAAATCATCAAACACGGGCCAGTAATTGACAAGTCGGATGAAAAGACCGGTCGATTGTTATAAACAAGTTATTGCTGCAAACAAGATTATTGCTATTACTCACCACACTAAGCTAACAACAAAAAATCTCACTATAATTTATTGCTATCAATTTACACCTACATCTGATTGTCGTACACTTAGAAACATGTTGAGAAGACTTTTACCAAATGCTTGTTACGTTTGTTCTTGCATTTTTGCATGATCGGTAATGACAGATTCTAAATTAGGTAAGCAAGCCTTAAAATATTTTGTCTCACATTACACACGCGCAAGCAATCACAAAGCATTCGGGTTAGGTTAGAACTTGAGCTTGTTACCAATTTAAAACTTCAAATCGTCATTGCCAGACACAGCAGTCTGGTACTGAATAATATTATTATTTATACGTTCACAAACGATGTTATATTGCTAACAAACATAGAAAAAGTAAGAGAACCTGAAAAGCAGAAAGTCTGAAAAAATGGTCCCAACCACCCTCTGACCGATCACAAAGCGAAAAGTAATATAATTGCACTACTATACACTTTATATTTGCATTTGCTGCTGATATATTTGCTGCTGATGTATTTGCTGCTGGTGTATTTGCCGCTGGATTTTATTATACATGAAAAATCCAACTCCCAGTAGCAAGGCAGCTCCAATAGCCAATAGAATAATGCCTATAAGTGGGTATTTTACCGCTCCCCACATTACAGCGCCCGTTATAACAACCATTAATGCAAATATTGCAAAATAAAACTCCCTGGTGCAACACCCTGGCTGTGGTGACGGTGAAGGCACACTGGTAGCAATCATGGTTGGAGGATTATTGAAAGTTGTCACAGGAACTCCCATCTCCGGGTTACCATTCTCAGCAACCGTAGGATTAGTTGGGTTCGGTTTACCATCCGGACTGACAGCGTACATTATCGGGTTGGCAAACTTATTGGCGTCCTGGGTAGGATTTCTACCATCGGACGAGTTTTGTAGATTTGGAGAGCTGTTGTATGCCATATCGACAAATGTGAGAGGAATGAATAATGATTTTTTTTTTGCGATGAGTAAAATGGATTCTATATACTATTTCTGTAGTTATTATGTTGTGTTTGATCATGTGCTTTATGTTGTGACAGTACCCCCTAATGACTATAGGATAATAAAGATAATCAGAAATGTTGCACGGATAAAAATATTTTCTTTTTTTTCACCCAAATTATCGCATTGTAACATGTCGGATATAATTCCCGATGAATCGACTGTTTTAAGGTGGCTACTTTTTTCTTAATAACATACTGATAATTATTTTGTATATGTAAGCAATGAAACCATTTTCCGTATCAACTGCGTTTATTCCCATTTTGCTATTGCCGTAGACCACTCTGGATAGGGTACATATCTAGAACACCTCAAGTTTTTGAATTGTACCCGGGGGGATGTACCGGGGTACTGTGTACTATTCAAGGGGTATTTTGAAATTCCTTCACAGAGTGATATGACTGGTCAATTTTACCATATTAAAGCTCATCTTAGTTAACACAATGGCGTCTCGTGGAAACAAGAGTACTATAACTGAGAAAAAGCGCCGAAGTTGGATGCTTTAGAAAAACTTGCAATCATTTTATATCAGAAGAATGTACATATTGTTGATGAATAATAAATGTTCATACTGTTTTTGTACTACTACCATAATGTGTGTGTATTTGTACCCGGGGTCTTAATGGATTATTTAAGGGGGTACTATATTCAGTGGTCGACGGTACTATAACATAGTTTCTATTACAGATAAAATGTATGATAACAAAAATGCTCAATTACAATGGCTCGCCGTCTCAAGAATTGTTCTTCAGAGACGTTTACTGTGTTAATGTTAATAATTAATTTTTATGTCCCACTTTTTTTTTAATACACTGGAAGACTCTACTTACTCTCAACGCGCAAAAATTTGTTGAGCAAATACTATTACTCAATCGATAACGGAAGAAGTAAAATTTGATTTGTTATTTCCGAATAGCTGGTGTAGACGATGAAACCATTCTTGAACAATTGATATTTTTGTTGTACCTCAGTTGGGGAACTGTCTCAGTTCTGGACCAAGACAACTGAGTTCTGGACTGAGTGACTGAGTTCTGAACTGAGGCAGTTCCCGAACTCAGACACAGATAAACACGGTAAATAATTGCTTTGTGTAGTGAGATAAAACTACGCATGATAAACAGCTCAACGCACTGTTTACACAACAGCAGATATTTGTTGAGTGAACAATCACAAATCAAGAAAAGTTGGACCCGGGACTCTTTCCGTTCTCAATTTTGTTCGTTACTACTCAGACTTTTTTAATACGTACGTACAGTATCTTCTGAATAGGGCAAGAAAAATTTTGGATTTGATCAATAACCTCATTACCCACTCCATAAGCAGATATTTCTTGCCAAGACAATGCGTTGCGATTCAGATCGTTTCTTATTATTCACTTTAATGTTTGCAAACAAAAGTCATTTAACAAGCTGGGATAAAGCTAAAAACGTGTTGATACGTACATTGAAAAAATATGTCCAGATTGGGGTTTGTTAGCGAAAAGTCAAAATAAATTGACAAGCGACAGCATACTACTGAACATTCGAGGCAAATAAGAGTAAGATAAAAAAGTTGTAAATAATGTGATGCTGAAAAAAACAAACAAACTTTGCTCTCAACTTCTATGCGTTTTCTGCTTTTTTGTTGTCCGCGTTCTTATGCCCAAAATTGCAAAATGGATGTTTTTAAGGATAAAAATTGAATTCTAATAATTTACGCGTGCTCCAATACTTTAATCACAATATGCCATATTTGCTACACACTAGGTTATTATCTATAATCTTTTATATATTACAAATTTTTTTGCTAATAAGATATTTTAAAAATTAGACATTATTGGTGCTTTCCTGTAAATGCTGATCAATTCTCTGCTTTTTTAACAATTATTGTATCATCGGTCTTTGCTTCAACAAAATAATGCATATCTGTATTTTATGTTGCTTAATCTTGGTTATAAAATTTACGGTAATTTATGCAATCGTTCACTCTGGCAAGTAAATAGATTCGTCTAATACACGTAAAAATGCTTTGCAAATACTAATAGTGGTGATACTGACTGTATTTCATGCGAGACATCTTAGTAATAAGATTTCAAACTCATTACGCAAACGTTTTACCCGTTATACCAATAATCAACAATTTTTTGTTGATAGTTTGGGCGTGGGAAATTCAAAATCAGCGGAGCAACATATGGCATGGACGAAAGAAATAGATATAAATACCCAAGAGAAAATCGTTTTTCTGTAAGGAAAAAACAAAATTGAAGAACTGACATTTATCATACTGTAAGTGTTAAGCTTACTTGCTACTACAAGTATTGTCTGCTAGTAGTATACGTTTAAAATTTAAAGCCTAAGAAATACTTTGGCTCAATGTATTTGCAATTGTCAATATTTTACCGATCTATACTGATAAATTTTTAGCGTAACAAACTATCAGTATAACTAGTGTTTGACTACATACTATTAATGGTAAATGGGGGGCGACAGTCCAGATTATGAAACAAACTCACTCCTTTCATGAAATTTCCAAACACGAGAAAAGCGAGCGATAACACTTACCCACAATATATAATACCTTGTTGTAACTTTATTAACATTCTATGACAACTTTGTTAAAATAAGCATTTTTTGGTTGTGAGGTTAGTATTAATTGGATTCTGCATATTAATGACACAGAAGTTCTTTACCAAGCCAAAGTTGAGATCGAAATCCAGGTACATTCTTAAGTACCAAAATTGTACGTGCGTAAACCATTTTTCCTTTTGTTTTTTAAATAAAGAGCGCAATGTCCGGTATCAATACTTATTTTCGTTAGCACGTTTTACTATTGTTTGAGCAACAGGCCAAATAAGGCATTACGTTGTTTGTATTTACAAGGGAAACGGTAATCGAAATAAGCTTTACTTGTCAACTATACAATAAATATAACAAATTTTGTAAACATAACATACAAACTATATAGACTTTTGAAATAGCTCAAAATATATAATTTTTGCCTATAGAATTAATTTTACCTGTCTCCTTTTCTTTTAGAATTGAGTCTACAACCTAGCTCAACAATTAGAATAAGCGAGGAGAAAATCGAGGGGCAAAGAATGCCGATAAAAACTAACTATAGCTTGCACAAATGTGATCAGCCGAACAAAGATTTTGAACCTCGCTTTCGGGGCATACAATAACAATTAATGATGCTACACAACGTTTAAATATGATAACAAATATAAAAGAGACTAATAAACAACCACTTAATGCTTACTCCTATTGTATTAGCAATATGCAACCACTTGTTAAAAAACGCAAAACTGAGCTACCATCAATTCGTGCATGTCGTTTTCTGATTATGGTCATTATTCTTGCCTTGTTATTAGGATACGCAATTATCCTTACACTTAACGTTGTTCATGATACCCCTTTTGTAACTACAAAATTTAAACCGGTAGACAGGTTGTCACTTCCGACGTTAATTATTGATTATGAATTCAACTTTAATATAACTTGTTTTTTTGTTTATAGTAAGTGTCTAAAATATACACGCACATTTAAATTTGTTACTATAATACCCAACGTTGAAAAAAAAAATTTAATAAACGTATTAACGTTAATTTGTTATTTTATTAAATACATAATTAAGGTGGTGGTCATGTTTCGACTTTTGAAGAGTGTACCAAGTACATCCAACAGCCAACGTTCACAAATAATTTCTACTTTGGCTATTTTAGACCACCACTTTATTTACAAATGGTACCTTCATCAAGTACGGAAGGACTGACGAGAATAGCGTTTATAATGACCGTTACTGACACGAGATTTAATCCCAGTGTTGCCGATATCGCTCAGATGGAAATCATGTTAGTTGATGCAGGTAACAATTAATTGTTATACCTTTGTGGCGCTGTATAATTTTTTATTCTTTGCCTACCATTTGCCATCAAAACAAGAAACTGAAATAAAAATTAACAACGGGATTATTAGCGCTGACGAAGTCAACAATATTGGTCCACACTATACAAATTCTTTGTTCGCACAATCAATATATATAATTCTTTATCAGCAAAAAAATTACGTTGACTATGCTCAAAATGTGAGAAAGTAATTAAACCCGGCTTACTTACCGACTTGGGCTTTCTACCAAAAACCTTTTCTATATCTTATTTAACTTCGAGATTGAGTGAGTAATGCATGAGGTTTTATACGCGCAAATGTTTTCTCAATAATATTAATTATGATTGTTAATTAGTGTTTCTTCCTTCCGCTCATAATACCGTTCTATTAAAACCTAATGTGTATGGTTCAATCGGGATAAGGCCTAACAGTTTCCTTGTCAAAACAGAGATAGAGCTAAGGTAGACAATTGATAAAAATGATCTATGTTATAATTATTATTTCTATGCTGAACAGCGTTGGCTGCTATACATCCGAAGCTAGATATGTAATTTGTGGCATAATTACGTAATTCTATCGTTGATACGACGATAACAGCGTTTTATTTACGAGTGCCATGTATGATCATCTTAATCCACAGAAACTGATCATATTCGCGATACCACTACCTATTCAACACAATTGTTAGGTAACGTCACACAGCTAATCAACTCCACCGGTCATAGAAACAAGTGCCTAATTATAATCACTGAAGTATTGATTTCTTGAGCGGGAGGTAGAATAAAGATAAATTTACCGACTATAGTTAGATTACAAGATTATCAAATCATGTTTCTAACAATTCCCTTATGGAACATGACAATCAGTATATCACTGACTTAGATAACAAACAAACAATACTAATTTAAAATGTCTTGGCACGGGTGTAACAGTCACATTGTTTTGTAAATTACCCGTTTCAGTCGCCTTTTCAGAAAATGATACACAGTCTACTTCTTTTTATTGTTGATTGACCCAACAGATTGTTTGCACTGATAATCAGTCTACAAGTTTTTCAGAGAATCAATAAAAAGAAAGTAACGGTATGAAATAAAAAATCAATTATAAATTCTTACTAACATCAACACAACAAATGTCTCTAGAAAGAACAATTCTTGAGATAGCAGAGTTTTTTAATTATTATGCATTTTGAAACTATATGTATTATAGCCATAAGAGTTGCAGTAAGCAGTGATGGCTTGTTTTTTAGCGTAAATAGCAAAGAAGAGGTAAGATGGGATAATATCAATCCACCGCATATTAGAGGAAAATGGTATGTTATCTGAAGTTACACAATTCAAGAGAACGGGCGTACTAAATCTAGTCGCATAAAAACGATTCTTTTTGACGTTTATACTTACTACCATCATTCAACCATTGTAAAAATGCTTCCTTTTAGGGGGTGAAAATGGAACAATTATTGGTGGTACGACATACGTGTTATAAACATAGGGCATATGATCGAGGGCAAAAGTCTATATAAAAATCCATATATGAAGTTTTTTGTGCCGATCATTTAGATAATAACTAGTATATAGACCAACCAATTTTACTCATCGTGAAGAAACCATCACATCATAATCAATTCTTTTCTCTCTCGTCTGACGATATGGCATACAACAACTCTCCAAATCTACAAAACCCAACGGATGGTAACCCTCCCATTAATCCACCCTCAGAAATACCTACCCAGGTCGTTAGTAACTTTACGACTGATAAAACTACCGGCAACACGCAATATGTAATGAACGACCCAAACAGTCAGATAATATACACCGTCGGTCCAGACGGTAATCCGGTCCCGAACAATCCCGTATTATATACGGTCGCTGAGGGTACCCCGGTAGTTCCTGTGATGCCTTACGATAACACGATTGTTACCAGTGTGCCTCCATCGTCGCCACCACAGTTCAAATTTGCCAGTAAGGAAGTCTATATTGCAATAGCTGCATTGATACTTGTTCTCGTGGGTGCTATCATGTTAGGGGTGGCAAAACCATCTCTTACCAGTTGTGTCAAAAATTGTTCACCAAATTATTCGGATTTAACCGATATCTCTTCCATTTATTCTGCTTCTTTGAACTACGACAGCTGTCTTAAAAAATGTAAGAATAAACATGATGCAGTAAAAGGTTGCGGCATTGCCTTTTTGGTTATTGGCGCAGTTGCGCTATTAGGAGATGGGGCTTTTATGTACCAGCAGCAGCAGCAACAGATGCAGCAGCAAATGCAAAATCAACAGTCAATGCAGCAAATGCAAATATAAAATGAATAGTAGTATAATTATACTACTTTTTTACAATCATTAAACCAGTAATCATTTACGTTTTATTATTAGTTAGAGGGTGGGACCGTTTTTTCGGACTTTCAGGTTCTCTTACTTTTTCTTGTTTTATTTTCGAACATATAAATAAATATATTATTATGTAACTGCTGCATAAAATTATTCTGGTCAGTAACCGCTTTAACCTGAATGCTTTGTTCGGAGGCGTGATTTGAGCAGTGTAATGTAATACAAAATCATACAAAATATTTGTCTCCTCACTGAATAGTGAGTACCTAATTTGGTATCTTGCCTCAAACGTCATTGCCGATCATGTTACGATTTGCAATGACGCAAAATAAAGCATTCTGGTAAGAAGTCTTCTCAACCTGTTTCAAGTGTGCAAGTCGATTGTATAATCGATAAAGCAATAAATTGATAGCCAGCATAGTAAAAATACACATGGTTTAGTGTAGTGAGGATAATCATGTTTAAGGCAATGACTGTTTATGGTAATCAACCAGATGTTCTCGGTTATTCTGTCTGCCGAACTTGTCTGTTTATATAACCCCTACATTTACGCCATCTTCAATTGTTGATGGTACTGTATCACGCAGCTTCTGCTAAGGAAAAAAAAATGGCATACTTACTTGCATGCGATAATAATAAATACTGCGCATCTTTTACGTTGGTATTACAAATTCGGGTAACGCAATGACAAATCCAGCGCAGTGTAATAGTAAAGATGATTTTCACGGAAATCACAACATAAACAAAATGAGGATCTGCCACCTTAAATGAAGTCACCATATAGTATAGCACTTATACACTCTCGTATTCTAACCGAAACAAAATTTCAACAAGCAAAGAGTTATTTACTAGACAAGTTGCTTTTTATGGTGTGAGTATTCCTCGTATTGTATAGACGTTGGTGTAGGCTTGCTGAATGGTTTTGGTAGGTGAAATCACAAGAATGTGAAAACGTAGAGGTTGTTAAGAATACTTAGGGAATACTTACACTTTGTTGTTTATAAAATTGTCTTAATCAGTAACAGATCGACTATGGATGAAGCAATCTCAGACACTGGCGCTAAATAAAGAACACGATGAAATCAGAACAAGCTAAAATTATAATAGTTTAGAAATAATAGCGGCTTTCTCCAAAGATTTGCGTATGCAGAATAACTCAATTATGTCGTATGTAAATCCGGATTTACATTACCACGAAAGAAAGAAGATTTACAAGAATTAGAAAAGTGAATTCGTTTTGCCGCGTATAACACATCCATCGAATAATGTCTAGACCAAAGTTGTCGAAAAAGATTTTATAATGAACATTTTTGATGTATAGTTAAACGCATATCTGATAGTCGTTACGTTGATAGTTCGTCAAACAAATAAAATATGCACATAAGGTCACACTAAAATTCTTGTTATCTTGCAGATCTGTTAATTCACACGACCCATCTGTATTTAGAACCCGGGCTGGTGATTCGGACGCTAAAATGGAATAGACACAACTTACGTTTAAACCAATTTTGTTCAAATATAATGAATCGATTTTCCAATGAGTCATAGCTAACGTACTTAATAACTCGTAATCCGCAATCGTAGTGCAATGATTTATTAAGATGGCCGAGTGAGGATCGGACGTCTATCGTCTCAATACAGAATGAGCAAGCTATTAACATTGCTGTATTGGAGGTGAGAGCTTTTGGGAACAGATTAGGGAGTGGGAATTTACTTTTTATAAACAATACACTCACTTGCAACAGACTAGAATAGTGGGTAGACTGTTATGGACAGTTATTCATATCCGAAATGGCTTGCCAATTAGATTAGTTTTTTGGAGAAGACATAGATTTTATGGAGGGTTTGAAGTGTATCTCCGACACTTTGCAATGAATTAGACAGACTTAATTCAGAGGAATAGCAAACATACGAATTCTCGGCGGTGTTACTAGCCTTTGCTGAACAGAACGATATAACTATACGGCAACTACGAGAAGACTCCCCCCCGGAAATAGCAAATCTAGTTAAGTTGTCAACAGTGGTACTATCTCGGAGATACACGTTAGAAAAATTTAAAGAAGGATTCAATGTTGACTTTGGGCACGGTGCATGAAAGACAGCTGTCGAAGATAATGTCCAGTTCATTGCACAGTTTGATTGGACAACCCGGGGAATACAAGACGATACGATTCCCCAGTGGTTCCACGAATACCTCAATTGCGTAAGGACAGGACATAATAAGATTCTGCACACTGGAAGTTACTGTACGTATTATATCATCGAATAATCGATAAATGTTAATATTTGACACATGCTAAATGGTCAATGGTCAATTATTTTTTTATCTAGATTAAACTCGTAGCTGACGCAAATCTCACAGTCGATTACCAAGAGCATCATCATGCTTGGGAGAAATTTGGTTTGCCATACGAATATGATGATGCAGGTGAAAAGCATCAATTTTTTGACGATCTAAACTGTGCATTTAGCGAACCAGCAACAGTTTTACGAACGAGCTGTTGAACTTGCTGAATAATATTCGGTGTTTACATGGGGAGGCATCTGTCTACAAGGAAAAATGCCTCTTTTTTGGCTTTTACTTACAGCCCAGAATATGTAATTACAAGATGTGGAGGCTGCAACAAGACAGCCCTAAGCATACAAGATGGGATGAATGATATTAGATCTATCAAAAACTTGTGTGAATACAAAAATTAGCCAGTCAAAACATGTTGTGAGCTTGTTTGATACTTAGCATGGCCCGGATGATGCAAGCCCCTCGGTGACGACTAAGTTCAAACGATTGCGAAAGTTACACAAAATCATTATCAGTTGACGACATCATGATGACATATATTGAGTCACACAAACATTACAAACATTGAATCAACGCAATATGTGTATTCGACATACTGAATCACTTCATCTAATACTAATTGATCGCTAAAGTAATTCCAACGAATAATATAACCAGCCATCTTTCCACCTCATTCACTAGAGAAACAAAAAAAGTACTCCAAAAAATGATTGCATCTATTTGTCAAATGGTCTTTATTATCAACGTACACAACACAACGAACAAAAAAAAGTCGTGCTATCTCGAAATTAGACAACGCTGGCAACTTTCAAATTTTCCAGTTTGCCAATTTTTACTTCCAATACTGAAAGTTCAGATTTTGAAGACGAGAAAGAATCTGTCCAAGAAATCAAACAAAAAAACGTATACCAAATAACCGGCCGGTAAACCCCTCAAAAGATAACATCATTGATGGTGCTGTCACTACTAGCACTAGCAGCAAACGATTAAACCTTGACGCAGACAGTATTTCGATTGGACAACCACTTGTTCGTTACTGGGAAAAGTAACACACAGCAAACCAATATCAGAAAGTGGTTATACTCTTACCCTCCAGGTCAAACCATATCTTAGTAGCACACATTGTGGTGCGTTAGACCCATCCATTGGGGGCGTTTCAAAAACACTTTCGATAAAGTGAAAAGATATTCTTCGATATTTACAAAAGGGTTTCTAATTTTTTGCAAATGATTTAGTTTATGCAAAGTGTTAAAAATTTCGTTCGTCAGCACAAAAACCGAAACTGATACCGATATGATTATTCCTTGGAAACTTGAAAACCAAAACACTAACAGCGCGCATACTTTGAAGCCGTGCCGAAATCGAAAGCCCTTCTCATACAATGATTAAAAGGAAGGTTCCACAACAAAAACAAAAGTTAGCGAGATCGCAAAAGAAATGCTATCTATCTATCTTTTCGGCTAATTCAAAATGATATGTAGACGAACCAACGGAAGAAACCAACAAATCATATAAATATCGATTCTGATGAAGAAGTGGATGTAAAGAAAGCCACCAACGACATAGTTATGATAACGAAAAAGTGAACAACCTAAACAGGCAAATTAAAACAACAAAAAAATTAGGTATAATTATTCACTAATTAAGCCCACAAAATATTGACCAATTCAACTTGTTATTTACATGTAGCGCATTTTGGCCATGTTTTATTGGCAGGTGCTTGGCTAATGATTATCAATGGTTAACCAATTCTGGCTACCATTTTATCATTGGCTGCAAATTTTTCACCATTCTTTTTCTTCTTTATGTATAACGAGTTTTTTTTATAAATAAACCAAACTATTTATTGAATACGCAATTATATGTATACACAATAAAAATAATACGGTGAATTATCATGATATATAATAAGCTTCAACAGTTACTTTCCTTCATCAAAATCAAGTGTGCCACTATATAGTTACAATATGGCTCATAAATTCAGAACATACAGATTGAAACCGTGTATTTTAACTACTAACTTAACATTCGGACGTCAGTTTCAAATACACGATTAAATGTAATAGATAATTGCGTTAACTTACATTATCTGAGTTTAGATGTTCAACAAGATTCTACTATTTAATTCTATTCCTTCTTGGCGACCATCAACGCGCTTACGCCCGTTTTCAACACTACATTTTTCCAGCGCATTTGCTCACCATGTGCCTGCTGCGCTAGATTGCTTTACCCTCCAAAGCTAAATGGATTGGAAAGATAGATTGTCTTTTAAAGTTTAGTTTCTGTTTGCAACACCCAACAAAAAACAAGCATGTCCTTAACTCCATCCGATCCCTAACGAATTAAAATTATCCCTTTAATACAAAGATAATAGTATTTCTACATTGTTCTTTTGGAAGAAGTTTGGGGTGCTAATCCTTACATATACAGAATACCGTGCTCTTGCTGGTGATATGGCTTTTTCAAAAAAAAAATGAGACACTTATTCTATACATACTTAGTGTAATGCTGAAAGAGACCGTCAATACAAAAAGATGTATCTTGGCCCAACCAACTATTGACAGGTTAAAATAAAGCAATTGTTACATAAAACCGTTTGCTCAATTTTTATCAAACCCACCACCAATATCTGCTGCAAGTGTCCAGTTGCGGGCACAACATTTACTGCCCGCTTTTCGGGAGCGTGATCTAGTTATATTGTAGATTTTTCTCCTTAAATACACAGTGAAGATTAACTCTACCAACGTTTCTCTTGCTTTAGATGGTCAGTTTTCCTCAACTGGCCTAGCGCATATTGCATTGAGTCGATGATGTCCGAGTTGGAGTCAAAATCTTTTCATAAAAATGCATTCATTACCAGAAGTAATACAAGAATATGAACGACTACAACAAATTGCATCAAACCCTCTACTGACAACTTAATCCGCTCATAAGAGTAATATCAAGAACAATTAATACATCGAAACCAATAGCATAACACTTTGCAAAGTAGCAATAAAGAAATAAGAAATTATTTTTATTGGACATAATTGTTATAATAAATCTTTAAATAGTGATTTATAAAAATTGTTACAACAGGAGAAGTTAATTTATGACTACACCGCCCTCTAGTTAATACACGGTGAAAGTCGATATAACAGATCAGGACAGGCACAAAATCCGTTATATCGTGACAATCCGTTTATCGAAAATCCGATATAGCAGACTCAGGAAATGTTTGATATAACGGTTTTTATTTGTTACTTGATATTTATTGAATTTGTTAATGTACACAGTAAAGTATATCTGAAACTTGCTGGGATGAAATACCATATTCTTTTGCTGGAGCTTTCTGTTGAACGTTTGCATTAGAAACACGTTTGCAAATTTAAAGCCGTTAACGAACCCCTTTTTTCTCTTATAATATTGTATGTTAGTATTATTAACAAGAAGTAAAAATATTTGACAACTTGATCTTTACTAAATTTGTGCTATTACTATGGATTATAATGGATTAGGTCGGTCACTTTAGTACGGTACGGATCTACTACAAATTCGAACCACTTTAGTATTAGTGCGGATCACTATTAACTATAACGGACTCCGTTATGATTCTGTTATATTGAACAATGTCTCATTAAGCTCCGTTCATCGAAAAAAAATCCGTACTAAGCGAAATCCCGTTATAATATCGACTTTGCATCATTCCGAACATGTTACACGGTGGGGTAAAAAATTTTTTAAGATGGTGCTACAAACATGGTCATATGACCGGTATATATTACTCATCGCAAAGAAACTTCTTTCCGTCCGTCGATATGGCATACAACAACTCTCCAAATCTACAAAACCCAACGGATGGTAACCCTCCCATTAATCCACCCTCAGAAATACCTACCCAGGTCGTTAGTAACTTTACGACTGATAAAACTACCGGCAACACGCAATATGTAATGAACGACCCAAACGGTCAGATAATATACACTGTTGGTCCAGACGGTAATCCGGTCCCGAACAATCCCGTATTATACACGGTCGCTGGGGATGGTAACCCGGTAGTTCCTGTGATACCTTACGATAACACGATTGTTACCAGTGTGCCTCCATCGCCACCACGGCCTAAATTTCACAGAAAGGAAGTCTACATTGCAATAGCTGCATTAATACTTTTTCTAGGGGGCATTATCATGTTGGCAGTGGCAAAACCATCCTATGAAAATTGTGCCACAAAGTGTATGAAACAATACCTTGTCACCTATACCCTTCGTGCTATTCGTAACTATGGAAGCTGTCTTCACAAATGCAAACATTCATATAATGCAATAAAAGGTACCGGCATTGCCTTTCTCGTTATTGGCGCAGTTTCGCTATTGGTAGGTGTAGCTTTCATATACTACCGGCAGCAGCAGCAGCAGCAGCAACAGCAACAACAACAGCAGCAACAACAACAGCAGCAACAGCAACAGCAACAGCAGCAACTAATGCTACAGAATCAACAATTAATGCAACAAATGCAAATATCAGATATAAAATAAACAGTAGTAATTATATTACTTTCGTCGTCACGACATCATAACGTTTACGCTTTTTTATTAGTTTTAGTATTAGAGAATGGTTGGGACTGTTCTTTCAGATTTTCTGTTGTTCAGACTTTTTTTACTTTTTCTTCGATGTCACTTGCTTGTGAACATATAAATAAATATTATCATACGTACCCAAAACTGCAGCGGCGTGATTCAAGTAGTGTCATGTTGCGATGCTAAGAACCTTCTTGCAAGAATCAATTGCGATTGTATAATCGACAAGCAATAAATTGATAACCAGCACAAAAATGCTTGTGATTAGTTTAATGATGTTTATGGCAATGACCTGTTTATGATAATCATCTCACAGCATCCATTTCCCTTTGTTTAAACATTGCGTTGTCTCTACACACTTTGGTATAAATGCGGGTAATACAATGACAAATCCAGAGTAATTGTCTGAGTAAAGATGACTTTTCACGAAACTAAAGCATATTTTTTGGATCATAATGAGGATTTGCAATTTTTGTTCACAATGTTTTTTTTCCGTTCCGTTTCCTTGAAAAACTAAAAAGGATTTCCATCTTGAAATTGCCGCGTTAAATTATATAGCCCTTTCACTCTCGCATTCTAACCAAAACAAAATTTCAACAATCAAAGAGCTATTTACTGAAAAGTTGCTTTTTGTGTTATGAGTATCCCTCGTATTGTATAGAGTTGGTGAGGAAAAGCGATGTAGGCTTGCTGAATGGTTTTAGTTGGTGGTGAAATTACAAAATGGTAAAAACATCCATATGTTATAGTTAATAGTACTTGGGGAATACTTGCACTTTGTTGTTTATAACATAACTTGATGCTTTATATGAAAGATTCAAAACTTTTAATAACAGTTAGTCAAACTGTACCTTGTTGTGAATAAAAGTCCCTCGCGCGCGATATGCCTGTTATAAGCCATTGACTTTATTAGTCTAAGACAGCGTTTTTTGAGTTCAACAACGTTGTCGTTTGATTGGTAACTCTAAATGACATCGATTTCGCATCTATAGTACAGTAACTGCAACACAATCTAATGTTGATAGCGTAGACTGTAAGAAAAAACTATAGAATAATAAATAAACAGACATCGTTATCAGTTATTCCATACAGTTGGGAAATGTCCATTTACATATAAAATTGCAGGAAGTGTTTCTCTAATGTTACTGTCTTTATTAGGCTAATAAACACTGGGTTTTTATAGAGCGCAAGCTGTCAATGCGTTAATAAAAATAAGTTGAACGAGAAAAGAAGACAACACCTTCGACAAAGTAATTACTACACAATTTTCGTTAATACCTATTTTGTCACATTACTCTATAGTAAATTTAAAAAATTTGGCTTACCTGGAAGCTGCGTAACGGGAACTTACTGCGCACAACTTGCTTAACGAAAACTTTGAAATCAAACTATTTCTTCTAACTCACCTCGAATGTATCCAATATTAGCGTTCATTTATAATCTTCGGCAAATTCCATAATCGGATTATTCCGGATCTAATTTACATAGTATAACTGTTCATTATTTCCATTCAGTGATACATCCTTGCTCTTGGGAACTGAGTAAAGTTAGCGCATAACATATTTTTTAACCACATAAATTACTTTTTTATAAACTAAATTTTAAACCATTATTTGCGACGAACAGTCAATGTTTAAACCAACCAACAATTTGCATATGTCACGACAGAATCATCTATACCTGGCATTTGCAGTAAAATAGTCTGAGTTTCTAAATTGACAATGCTAATGTCTTGTTTGAAACTTTCCTTAATTCATTTATTAAAACTTGCGGAGCAATCCTAACACTAGTTGTTCGAAAATAACTGGAATAGTTAATCTCCGATAGTATATAATAATAATATAGTCCAGTAAACTAATGCTAAATTTAGCGCAACAACTAGGTGATGCTGCGGAATTAGTATGCTACTGCGGACTGTTTATGTCACAGATTTTTGCGCTCTCCACAGTGATCGTTCTCACGTATTAAGAAGTACTCCAATAAATTATGCCTACTAATATTTAATTTAGGTTAATAGGGATCGAATAGAGTAGACTCGTCTATGACTGGCATAAAAGCTTACTGTAGTGTATTTCTGAGATTATCTCTATGTTGACTGTGTATCTTGTACGATCTTAATCTGTCCATTATCTGACAAAAATGTAAATTTAACACTATATTAGGGTGGGGGATGTACAAATAAGTAGTGTGTGTCTCACATTTTCGTTGACATATAATACTTGGTGAAGTCAACCGTCTCATTTACCTACCCGTTGTTTTTTGCAAATATGGGAATCCAAGGCTTATTCACGCATGTCTAGCTCGATATTGATACTTTTTTTTTAATATATTATGATATTAACGTTCAGTCTCCTCACTGTCTTTGCTATGTACAGTTACTTAAGGATTTCGACAGATTGCAAGGCATCTATAAAACAAGTCACCGCAGTCCAAGTTGATAAGCCAGGCGACATATCGAAGCCCAATCCTAACGACATAGAGTGTGAAAACTTGTATCTGGACATGAATTGTATCATCCACTCGTGCTGTCAGCAAAATTATAAAGTTGAGTCATTCGTTAGCATATATTCTGAACTTTGTTGCGCATACCCGGTGCGGTGGGAATGATTGATTGATTGAACTAACATATATTTCAACTTATCTAGCCACCACCGCAAACAGATGATGAGGTGCTGGACGCATTATTAAGCGAGATCGAATGGTTACTCTCAGTCGTGCGTCCACAAAAACTGTTATATCTAGCCATAGGTAAATTTTCAAGGACAGAAAGTCAACGGTGTGCAGTCACACAGTTTCCTAATAACAGACATCACCGTTTGCTTTTACTGATCGAAAAAGCTTTGCTAATATGTGTCAACCCGTAGACGGAGTTGCTCCTCGTGCCAAGATGAATCAGCAGCGTTCTCGACGATTTCTAAAAGCTCAAGAAGAGCATACCTGGGATACCAACTGCATCACTCCCGGTATGTAGTAACTTCGAAGGGAGACTGTGTATAGCATGTGCTAAATCTGTTTTTTATTCTGTGTAGGCACAGAGTTTATGACGAAACTTACTGAACGTTTAAAATGTTGGATTACAAAAAATTTGACTGAGAACATAAGCTGGGAAAAGGCAAGTAATTATTTGTAAATTTCGAATTTGGCCAAAGATTAAACATCTTCTCCATTAACTATTAATCGTTCGATTTATAGCTTTTAGTTATATTATCTGATGCAAGCGTTCCTGGCGAAGGGGAACACAAAATTATGAATTTTATTAAAGCACAAAAGATGCAAGCTAAAGATTTTATCTACAGTATGGTAAGAAGATAGTTTCTTCAAGGCTTTTTATTGGTATTGATAGAAGTTTGATGGATCATTTATCATTATACAATCTACAGGATGGAGATCTTATCTTGTTGTCACTAGCACAAGATCAAAAAAATATCGATATACTTCGTCAGAGGCAATATTTTGCCCCCACTCAACCTAAAGTCTTAACGGTCATATCGATCGAAACATTGCGGCAACGCCTGGCAAAAGTACCCCCATGTTTTAGTAGCAATGGCGCAATAAACGATTGGGTATTTCTTTGGTGCCTTTCCAGAAACGATTATTTACCCCGCTTGCCCTCCTTCGAGATGGAGGAAATTTCCATTGACAAGTTAATAGCTATATGGCGGCGGGTCTGTGGGAAGGACTATATGACGAATAATGGAACTGTAAGTATCCGCACGTGGATTCTTTATGTGCATATCAGTAAGCTGCTATCTACTATTTTAATCACTTTTTTTTTTACGAAATCCTGTAGCTAAACTTGACAAAGTTTGAATCTTTTATGACAGAGCTGGCTAAGGAGGAGACAAGAGTAAGCATAAAATAAAAAATCTGGCATTACTTCTACACGTAACTTTTAATGATCTGTGTAACAAATAGGTACGACAATGCAAGGAGCCCGTTGGTGCTAAAATGGATGATGATATCAGGTAAATAAAAAAGCAGCGTTACGTGATAAATAATTTATCATCGCTATTGACTTTTTTATCTTTCAACCAATTTTTACCATATGATAGGCCGTGGGAACCGGGATTCAAAGAGCATTACTATAAAGAGAAATTTGGTAAAGAGTGGACTTTGGAGTTTTCCAGAGAGTAAGTAAACATTCTTTCTTCACCAACGCAGCTATATAATTTGTGTTTCTTATTATTGGTCAATCTCCAAAGAGTTGTAAAAGCATACGTTCAAGGACTTTGTTGGCTCTTGGAATATAATTATAAAGGCGTTTGTTCGTGGAGATGGTTTTACCCTTTCCATTACGCACCTTTAACATCTGATTTTGTCAACCTTGTCGAGATTCCCGAATTCAATGTCGACAAGCCTTTCAAACCCTTTGAGCAGTTAATGGGAGTAATGCCGATTGCAAGGTTTGTTCCAATTTGTTTACAACGTGTGTTAAAAAAAAAAAGCTGCAATTATTTATCTGTTTATTTGATAGCAAAAAACTCTTACCGCAACCTCTGGTGAATTTGATGGTTGATAAGGGTAGCAAGATGGCAAACTTTTACCCCGAATACGAAAACGTTAAAGTCGACTATAACGGTAAGAAACATAAAGCAGGTTCCTGTGTAATATATGGCTTATCACACAGTCACGAACCGTTGAGCTAATCTTAAGTTTATAAAGTGAGTTCTTTTCTAGGTGTTGTACTTTTGCCATTCATCGACGAAGATGACCTGACAAATGAGGTCACTAACGTAAATGACGAGCTAAATGATACCGAAAAAGCTAGAAATAGCGAAGGGAATGATATCATATGCTTTAGCATAAGGCATAATCTTTACGATAAATTGGTTCAATCAGAGAAATACCCTGTCGAAATAGGCACAATAAACACTGTAATTGACATTTCTAAAGCAACCTGTGTATCGCTTAAAATGTCCAATAAAGTAGCTGAATTAATTTGATTTATTCAACATTTGTGGTGAATACATAATAAAAATAAATTATCACTCATAAAATTTGTTGAGGATTCGGGAAAGAAACAAGAATGATATGAGTAATGCAAGATGGTTCAACTTAACAAAGTTCAAAGTATAGTTGTTTGTAACAAAAAGGCAAAAGGCTATTGATATTTTTGAAGGACTTGTTGATGGAAGAAAAAGTAGTCAAGTAAAATAAATAAATGCTTTTAGCCAAATAATGAATTAATATATACTCTCTCATGAATACACAATATAGTCTGGTCCGGTGGCGCTGTGCTTAGAAAGCTCAGCACGGAGGAGCATTCCGATGACTGTTAATAAATTTACCGGAAAAGGTAGTGTCACAATGAAGCACATAAACAACAATCAGATTAAGATGTGGTGATACGTATCACGTATTCATTCTATAAAGCGAATACGAAAGATTGTGGATGGCTAGCAGCAACAAACATGGCCTTAATTCACTCTGATAATGAATGGTTGAGGAAGAATATCGAGGACAAAAGCATCCAGTTTTATTCATTCGAAGGCTTTACTGACGTCGTATCCATCGGTAGTGGAAGATATGGAGAAGTTTTCAAAGCAAAATTGAAGACGGGTAGAATGGTCGCATACAAGCTTTATTCAAATGATGAAGATGAAATAATCGAAGACTTTGTCAAAGAAGTCGGTGACTATAATGACGATTTATATTCGAGTATTACTGCTATAAGTTAAATTATCAATCGATACTTTTAGATTAAACTCCATCATCACAAGGTCAAAGATAATCACTCCAACATAATCCGATTCCTTGGAGTGAGTGAGGGTAAGTGTAGAGAAATCGCTTGTCATAATTGTGATATGATATTAACAGAGACACAATTCATAGATACGCTCGATAGACATATAATGGTCTTCGAGTACGCTGACAGTGGTTCATTGCAATGTTATTTATCGGATACGTCTATTGACTTGGATTGGCCTACAAGATGCAAACTTGGTGTCGATATTGTTAATGGTCTGGCTTTTCTTCACGGCCGCAACATTTTACATAAAAATCTGGTAATTATAAATGCACAACAATATAATTTCATAATATTATACAGTGCAATTTTTATAATAATTGATAACTTCATTTTTAGTCTTCTTATAATATCTTGATTCATGCCGGCGTGGCAAAGCTAACGAACTTTGGTTTGACTGACTCGGCCATACAACGAAGAAACAGTAAAAGAAGGCTTGCATATCTTGACTCCAGATGCATA